TGTTGGCAATGAGTTGAGTTCTAAACAGTGCAAAATAATTCCCAGGGGATTTTCCTTTCTCTTGTCTCACACCATTCAATCCTGAGGATAGTGTTTATCCCATCCTGTTGAGACTGATGACCAATAATGTAGGAATTAAGATTTAATGAATACCACTTGTTGTAATTGAAATAATTAACAAGATCACAAATAATATCAAGAACAAGATTTAAGTAAAGAAAATAAAAGAAGAATTGGCAAAAGGAACGATGTTTTATTCAACACTATGAAAGGAGAGTACAATAGCAATGAAAGTTTCTATTGTAACATCTTAAACTGAAAAGAGGACCCCTATATTTATAAACCACGAGCCAAACCCTAAAAGAAGGAGAAAATATGGAAACTAGGTTAAAAATCACGTAAAGAAAAAAATTCGACGCCACCAAAAATTATTATTGTGCGACCGCACAGGTATACTTGTTGCGGTCGCATAGAGTAGATTAATTGGCAGTTGAAATTCCCTGACAGCCTAGTGCGGTCGCAAGAAGTTTCAATTGGAAAAGTATTTCTTCCCTTATAAATTTGATACAATTGATTGCTTTCCAACTCCAACACGTAACATCAAGATTTTGTTCCCTTAAAACTTGTCTGCCACTTTCATCCCTCTTCCAATTTTAATTCAACACGCCATCTTCAACAATTATTTTCCTAATTGAGAGTCACAACCATAACACATCCTTCTTCTAACAAATGTGCTTAGGATTGCTCGTTTCTTTGTTGCAACATCTTCATATTTCATGTATGGATGAATATTATAAGGACTGACTATGTTTCCCACTGTCTAATTTTCATGATGATTGCTCTAGTTATACTTCATGCCATGAAAGTTCAACTCATCCGCAAGTCTCTCTAGGGTGGGATTGTTCATCCGCCATTCCTTTCCCTTCCTCCTTCGGCATACTATCGTAGATTTTGATACTTGTAAGTTGCTGCGACTTCTAAGGAAGAAGTTAGTGATAAACTCAATTTCACTCTCGCTGAATTCACCTTGCAAACTCACCCTCAGATTTTCAAGTTGTGCACGCAAAGATACATTTTCAGCTCTTAGTGCCTTGAGTTTTTCCGTCATTTGCTATATAATCTCCGTTGTAGACATCTTCTTCCATAAGCGACAACATTGAACGGAATAAATGTCGATGTACAACTTTTCCAGTGTTTCTTCCCATCTCGCTTCGGATTCAAATCACTGTTCATTGGATCGTCGTTGTACTCTTCCACTCCGATTTTCAGTACTTTCTCTTCAACTTGGCTCATCATTTGCACCTATGTAAATGTTTCCTCAACTCAAATGGACAAATTCGTGGTTTTCTTTGTTCAACTTTTCAAAGACAACACTAATTTCTTGATGGTCAAATTACGATCAACAAATTCATCTCATCTAACTATGATTTTCTCCTCTAAACTTTCTAATTTTGATGCTCAAATTGGAGCAAGAGGGGAAGTAGCTATTTTGAAAGGAGATATTTGAATTTATATAATTTTCTCTTCGTAGATGGGAGTATTTTTAGATCTCTTCAAAGCTTTGGTCAAGAAATGTAACTGGCTACAAAGCTGGTCATAAGCCCCCAGGGCATATCTCCCAGTGGCAAAGGGGAGGGCGGATAGGGCTCAGCGCGGCAGTGTGCAGAATTCGATTCCCCGTAAGGTGGAATTGGCATTGTTGCAAGTGGGAGTTACCATATGGGTTAACAGCCTTGGCCTATTCATGTGCTCTCCATCCTGGCTCCTGGGAGGCACATCCTGCGATTTACCTCCTCCACGATAGCCCAGAACAGGGTCGGTGGAGGCTCCTAAGGTTGGGGTTCAACTTTTTTTACAAAGCTGGTCATAGGATCGTGTAGGCCACTAGATCACAACTCGTACTTCAACTAAGTTGGATCAGTGGCAGCAATCTCTATGCTTGACACGCAATAACAAACATAGCTCAAGTAAAAACCCCTCGTTTTATTCTCTTTAGGAATGGATAACGACCCATATCCCTTCCATGTATGACATCTTTCTTGCCATGACCGCTAGGTTGGAGCCAAGATATATAGATTTAAGCTTCGGGTACAGAAAATAGGTACAGATTCCACAAAAGCATCCTGCTTTCCTGCTTTTTCCTTTTTTTCTTCTTCCAATGAAATTCAGCCAAGTGTTATTTCTGTAATTTTTCTGTCAAATTTTCCAGTACTTATAACACAGTTCATATATATATATATATATATATATAAGGGATTGTGTCTCAAGTAATTTTCTTAGCATTCCTTACCTTTCTTGGCCATTTTATATTTCACACACTATTTTTCTCCTATGTATTTCTGACTTGATTGTCAGAGTGGTAATGAAAGAGATGGCCACCCACTTTTTCAGGTACCGAAGCTGTATATGTCAACTGTTTGAGGTACCATAGCAATGTGTTAACCGTCAATAGAGGAAGAAAGGCTCAACCAATTTGCCTAACTTCTAATTTTGTACCTGAAACAACCTAGGAACCTAAGGAGCCCATGCCTTTGTGTTAAATTTATCTACCAATAAATTATATAAATATGTTCTATCGGTGGTCCATTTTTCTTTATAAAACTCTTATTATATAAGGTTGACTGAAGCAAAATTTTTCCAATCAAAATCTTGTGGTCTTCTTCTTTTGTAAAAATAATCAAAGCATGCTTATAATCTATAGGGAATGTTGCATTTGGGGGTCCGTAACCCTTTCAAAAAGTACTAGTAGGTCATAAAACTTCCATTTGTAAGAGGTCCTTAACATTGGGAAAAAAAAATAATAATAATAAGGCCCTGTTTGAGTCTCATTATTTTTTCATTAAAATGAAAAATATGATCGTTATCCATCACATTAAACCATCATCTTTGACTTCTTATTTTTTGTGTGGAGTTATAATAGCTATATTTTTCATTCTCATTTTGACAATAATGTGGCTCAAACAAGGGCTAAATGAGCAGGACTTTACGATGGTTTTGTTCAAAAATTCATTAATTCAAAGTTTGGCTGAAATTTGACCATTTTTAAGAACGTCAAAATCGTCATATCACCTTTTCACATTTAAAAGAAATAAAATAATTAAAAGAACAACAAACGAATAAAAGAAGATTTTAGATTAAAAAAAATGAAAATCTAAAAAAAAAAAATTGTTCCAAAAAAAGGGAACTCTTCCATCTTCTTCGAACGCCGCCCCACTTTACCCCATAAAAGATCCATAGCGCAACAAAAGTGGAGGTGAAAGGGAGGGTGGTTGAAGCCTTGAAGGTGGTGGTGGAACGGTTGGGGTGTTAAGGATAGCAGGCGGTTACAAGTAGTGGGAGTGATGGTTGCAGGTGGTGCCAGTGATGATTGGAATGGACAGCCCATGGGTGTGTAGAGGAAAGATGAATAGTTTTTCTTTTTCTTTTTCCTTTTTCGTTATTCTACGAACTAAAATTTTTTCGATTCAAATTAACTATTTAAGGTCAAGGCCTTCGTCGCTCTTACCAAGCTAATGACTTGGCCTCGAGTCTCATTTTTGGGGGTAGGAATGAAGTATTTTGATTCCTTTTAAGTTTTAACACTATAAGGTAAGTTCAATATCTATTTCAAATTTAGATCATCTTCTATAAAAAGACGTCAACTTTTATACAATATCAAGGTAAAATAACCTTCACTTAAAGTTTGATCGATAATTTTTGGTGCATCGTGGGGAACTGAACCATTAAAAAAATAAATAATTTGGCTCAATATTTCTTTTTATTTTTTTTTCATTTAATTTATTTAACGAAAGAAACAAAAATTGCAAACTATGCTGTAAGTCATCCCACCTCTTCATAATAGCTCGGCGCCTGCCATGGTCGGACCAACCTGGCCTACCTTTGGATCCCTTCTTCAACCTATTTATTGCCATTAAGTTCTATATAATAGCTTCATCACCTCTCCAAGATTTAGAGCCCGTTTGAGCCCATTATTTTTCATTATACTGTTTTGAATAATGTTTTATTTGAAAAATAAGTGGTTGAAAAGTTTTTGATTTACGTGTAATATTATTTTATTGAAAATTGTGTGGTTAAAAGTATGAGAGAAAAAAACTTAATTTAATCTAATGAGAAATAATGGGGCTTAAACGGGGCTAACATTTATGCTTTTTAGATAATTTTTGGGATATACGTTCTTCCATCTCATAAAGAACTCATCTGCATGCATCAAACACACTACACTACCAAAAGCCAAAGGCATATTTTGAATGTCATCATTAAATAATAATTAAAAAAAGGTTTAATGAATTAAATATAAAATAATGTTATCTGACATCAATATAGATAGATTCAATTAAATAAATAATGTGACATTGTATTTAAGTGAACATATTATTTAATGTGTTACCGTTGACAACTAAATCAGTGCTTAACACAAGTATTAAATAACATTATTCTTAAATATACAGTTGGTTCTTAAAGGTACAGGGAAATTTGAAGTTGGTTACCAAAATTTATTTTATTCCAAATCAGTCACTGAAGTTTTTAAATGGTTATAATCTGATCACAATGCTATTGAGATCAAAATCCAATCCTGCTCGTATGTTGTTAACACCATTTTGTACTAAATGAAATTTTAATTATATTTAATTGCAAGCCTAAATCATGCTAAACAAATGGGATTATCAAACGTTGAAATCCGTTTTACTTCAAGTTAATTTCGCGAATTACTCAAATCCGATTTCAATATCTAAAGTTTACCATTCATCATTCATAATTAAATATATAATTGAAAAATTGTGGATCCGTAAAATATGTTGTTAAAATTAATTCTTAACTTTCACTTAAATTTTAATTTTTACCAAACGGGACGTTAATCATGACCAAATTGGAACCATTAGGAAACTTCAGTGATTATTTGAAAGAAAATTTTAAAGACCTACAAACCATATTTTAATTAATCCCAGATTGGAAAATAGAAAACAGATTAGGAATCAATAAGCAGCTGGAAACAGGCAGGAAAAACTGAGAAAATCAACTTAACCAATATATTTGCAAATTAAGGGCAATATCAAGAGCTTGTTTGCGCTAAAAAGAAAAGGAAAAGAAGGCTAAAAAGGAAAGACATTAAGGGCAATATCATCAAATCTTGATCTGTTTGACAAACTTCCAATTTCTTTAAAAGTTTTACCAATTTTTGTTCATCTTGTCTTGTGACTCGTTCTGTGACTACCCAATCCTTGAGATGATTTGAATACTTTCTCACAAGTCTCACATTGATACTTTTTCTCACTGAGTTGAGACTCAACCGAGTCATTTGAACTCCAACCATCTCTCGACAGCATAATCAGAGACCAAGCGCCCTCTTCTTCTTCTTCAGAAACACAACTGCGTCTGCTCACCATTTCTAGCTCTGCCAGTGACTCGGTTGATGACCCAGTATTTCTCTTCTTGATCACTTCCTTGGAACTTCTCCGAACTCGATATCTCTTCCTGGTTGACTCAGGCTCAGTTACCTTGTCCTGAATAACAACCGAGCCTGCATCATCAAGGAATTCTGGATCTACAACCCTCAAGCTCTTCGGTAATTTCTCTTCGACATCTTCAAGTACTGAAAACAGTGAACAAGTAGTTGACTCAGTGTCGCCGCCGAGTTCTTGTCTCTGCGGCGTCTTGGGTGGAAGCGGCAGGGTGGCATAATGGGACCTCATGTGACCCCCCAAAGCTTTGCCATTAGAGAAGCTCTTGAAACAAATCTTACACTGTTGCCCCTCCATTGAAAAATCACAGATCAAAATCGATAAATCTGCAGATATATGGTGCTGTGGCCAGTTTCTCTCTCTAGTTAGACAGGCTTTTGAGATAGATACTAAAGGAAGATGAGTAGGTGACAAGCATTCCTCCACCGAAAGGACTCACACTATCCATAAATGTAGAATTTTGTAGTAATACTTGTAAAAGAAATAGAGTTAATTACGCAATTGGTCATTGAAGTTAAATTGAATTTTCAAAATTTACGCCTAAAGTATTTCTTTATGTATTTACTCATTAAAGTTAAATACATTACATAGTCGGTTTTGTTTAACGACATGCACTAAAATTTCATGATGATCAGTTAAATTTTGACATCGACTAACAATCGTTGTGTACATATTATGAATTACAAAATTTCAAAATTAAACAAGACCCGTAAGAGAAAAAATAATTTACATTTAGCAAAATAAAATTCCAAATCGCTTTCATTAATACAAATCTGAGTTTCCACCATTAATAAAAGTAAAAAAGTCTGGATTTTAAAATTAGCAGCTGGATGGGGCAAAAAATAAGGCTAACGAAATGACCAATTGTGCAACATTGTTTTAATTTTGATTAGGGCTGGGCAAATTTCCCGAACCGAACCGACCGAATCGAATTGAACCGAACCCGACGGTTCTTGTCAAATTAAATACCCGAACGGATATTTGAATTGAGAATCGACGGGTACGGTTCGATTTTCGGTTCTAGACCAAGAACCGAAGAACCGAATCTTTCTAATTTTTTTTTATATTGAGTAAATCAAATTATTTTAATTTTAATTTTTTCTAAACAAATTAACAATTTCTAAATCCAAAATTTTGGCCCAATAATTCGTTTCATTTCTAATTTTTTAATTTTTGGCTCAATTACCCATTTTATTGTTTCATTTCTTAGCCCAACAAGATTCAATCTATTAAATAACTATAAACACCTACACTAAAGTACATAACGTTGTCTCGACTTTCGCACTCACTCTCGCAGTCTTGCTAACATTTCATAACCTATATAATCGTCGATCGATACTGTGACCTCCGATCGAAACTGTGACCTTCGCCGATCGAAGCTTTGATCGTAACGATTATTTGAATAAGGTAGTCTATTAGTCTCTGACATTCCAAAACCATTGAATGTATCATTAGTTGTATTTATATAATGTTGTTATAAATGTTAAAAATTTTAATTATAGTACAGAACCGAACGGAATCGAACCGAACCGAACTGAACCGAACGGAACCGAACCGAAACGGTTCCATAATTATATTTGGACCCGACAATTCCATTTATTAGATACCCGAAAATTTTGGTTCGGTTCCGTAACCGAACCGACCCACGCCCACCCCTAATTTTGATGATTAAATGAATCAGAAAAACACTTTAAATTCCAATTTGAAATTTTTCTTAAACTTCAGTGACTTGTAGCGAAATTAACTCTAAAGAAATATACGTAAGAGAAAATTGCTACAGAAATTCCATTGTCTAACATGAGTTGAAATAGGTCTACTATTCACAGATTTTCAGAAAAATTACAATATTTTTTGAAAATGCCTTGAATACCCTCGGCATAACTAAGTTGTACCTAGTAACATGATTCGCTGCACTACTCCCGCTAAAAATATACTCAAAGGGACAAGAAATTTCCAAAATGCAATGTTTATCTCTTCATTCAGAAACACAAAAAAGTCGATCAAATGCAAATCCTCTTTCGTGATCCCAATCCTATTGATCAATGACATCATCTATATAGTTCGAGGAGAGGAGATCAAATCTAGCAAGAATTAAATAGAGAAATAGATTTGAAGAATCAAATCTTGACGTTGAAGACTAAGAACAAGAAATTGATTTCACATCTCATTCTTGTATTTATACGTTTAAGGTGATGATTTTTCAATTTCTTTGTTGTCTTATCTTTAGAAATATATTAGGCCAAAGTTATTTTGTGTTAGAATGAAGATGAACCCTATTGTTGTTTATTTTTAGTTCAAAGACCAAATAGTTTAGTTAATTTGTGTCTTGATTGATCTTGTATGCTTTGTTGAATCATTTAATTGTTTGATCGTTAATTAAGTAATTAGTTACTTGTTGTAGTAGTGGGAGGTTTATAATAAATTTAGAACTTTGTAATTTCAAAACACGTACAATAAATGTTTGAAATAACATAAATGTTGTTTGTAATCATATAGATGATCGTATAATTGAACGCATTACTTTGCATATGAATTTGGACCAAGGATAGGATCGAGTAGTGCTTAGAATATGTTTAACTTACTACAGGATAGATAGTTAAATAAAATTGGATATTAGTTGTCATGAATATACAAATCATACTAAATTACATAGGTCGAGAATTGGAAATATGATACTAATAAGTGGATACGGAGCTCCATCACATTCATTTGCATATTTAGTTGAAAATAATCTTAGATAACTAGTAGAATAATTTAGATATAAACATAAATCACTTTCGTTACTTTATATTTCAATTTGATAACGGATTGCTACAATTAAATTTAAAGTTTATTTCTCACGAAATGGTCCTCTGTACTCATTAAACTATTACTTATTAATGATCAAATATGCTAGTAAGTTTAGCATGAACAAGTTTTTGATGGCATTGTAAGGAAATAAAACCCCTATTTGGGCTCCATTAGAAATATATTTAGGAATATTAATTTTTTAGAGAATCTCTGGTTAAAAGATATGGAAATTTTTTGAGTTTACATGAATATTATTTTATTAAAAAATATATTATTAAAAAGACGAGAGAGAAAATGCATTTTTTTTAAACGAAGCCCTAACAGTGGTAAAGTCTCTTGTATTTGTCGTTCTTCTCAAGTACTATTTATCAATGTATGGATGACCAGTAAAATTTTTGCAATGATTAATTCCAACATGAATGATAAAGATCTGCTTGTAGGAGATATATCTTGTGAAATTTGATATGATATACATTATACTGTGCAACACTTATACACACGCACTGATTCCCTTGGGGCAAATCTTATGTGGCTTAAACAATATTTAAGATATTGAAAACAAGCAATTGACAAATCCAATGAAAGCTACATGTTTGTGGGAGATTATATATCTACAATCGGGGTAAGGATATCATGCTTGTGTCAGATGGTCATCTCTTATTGAAGAAGAAGGTGCTTGCAAAATATTATAATGAACTTTCCAAGTTGGATGAAAGCAAAAGAATCAGCCATTCAACTCGAGGTATAAACTATTGAAAAAGAATATAAAGATGATGACAAAGTATTTATAAAAGAACCAAATGAAGAAGTGGCAATTAATGGAGATGGAATTTAACACACACTCTTTCGACTTTATCGATTTTCCAACAATTGAATTTATGATTAAGCCTAAGGATGAGGTAGAAATTTACATAGTTGAGTTTGAATAAGATAGAATGAGCAAGTCACATCAAATTGAAAGAGATTAGGTAAAGATTTGGATAATCAACGAAAAGCAGGTCAAAGACAAAAGAAACAAATTAAGCAAGGCATCAAAAGATTTTTTTTAGAATTACATGACACGACTGCCGAAGTCAAGATAATGATTATAAACGAGCGCTTATTAGGATACAACTCAATTTTCTTTCCTTTTATTTATTATACTTTCTAGATAATAGTTTAAGTACTTTTTATTGCTTGTGTGCTAGGTAGCAGTTAGGTATCTTCATTCCCATATTGCCCTATAGATTATGATGAATTTTAGCTCAAATTGGAGTGTTCCATATTGTTAATAATTAATTTCTCTTTATTCGGTAGGAAAATAAAACCTATACACACAAACTAACAATGGACAAGGAAAATGACATTGTAACGTAGACTAATCGAGATCTAACACTTTTGTTTTAGAATTAGCCTCCACTTTTAGACATATATCTGGCGAGTCTCTTATTCCCTCATTTGCTCTTTTTATTTTACCTATCTAATGATAGTTTAAGACATTGAGAAAAATGTTTGATTTAAGTTTGGGGGTGTGAAAAATATTGAGTTTTATTGTTTCATGTGCTTGTATGGAATTTTATTGCTTTGTTATACATATAAAAAAATTGAAGATTTTTTAAAAAATTCAAAACTATTTTCTTTTTAATTTGATTGCTAGTTGAGTGAGTTAGCTTTGCTGACAATAATGCATATATTTTGAACTAGGTGTTAGTTTATGAATTATGAATAAATTGCATGCTTAGATTAATTTATGTTTATCCATGTGGAATTTAATACCCTTTGCGCATACGAATTAAGTTTTGCATTATAAATGAATGAGTTGATTCATATCTAGAATAGGTTGAAATAATGGAACTTAGATGTTAAACTCAAAAATCACCACATTATACATTTTAAAACAAATTGTATTATAGTTTAGGATGATCGAACTATTTTAGGAAGATATTGAGATTAATGGAGATTTCATTTGTGTAAATTCTTGTGTGGATTGTCTAAGGCCAGTTAGATGAAAATTAGGTGTATATCTTAAGTTAAAGATCGGTTCTTGATGATGAGTGTTTAATGGTGAACATTACACTAATCATTGTATAAAAACGATACCATGATTCATGAGTGAAAGATACACTATAAAATATCACAATGAGGACATTTATTGAAAATCCCAAAATGAAAACTCAAAAGGAGATCTAGCTAGTAGATGAAACAGAATACGAACAGCAAATTTGAAAAGCAGGCTCATGAAACAAAAGACGTACTACATGCATTATAAAACTCCAGACACTTATTTGAGAGAAATAAACTTTTGACAATGGATTATTATCTTAGTTTATTCTCGGAGGTTGAAGTAATCGAAATAAAGGAGAATCCTTATTTATTGAAATAGACTTACAATTAGTGGATTTTATGCAATCTAGCAAGAGTGGGGATTAGTATACGAGTACAAAATTGGATCACTCTTTGAGAAAAGAGTTAAAAGATAAAGTTTTGGGCATACATCTCATGAGTCAAGAAATGACATGTTTGACTATTAAAGGTCTGAAATTGAAGTAATTTGTTAATTTATGATGTTTTACTTAATTCTTTACACACACATCAAGTTTATATTGGATATGTAGAAATTGATTTCTTTATTGTGATTTTGTAGTTGTTCATAGACTTAATTTGATTATTTCGATCATGAGACAAACAACAGGTTATCT